CTGCTGGTGGTGATGGTAGGGTTGGTGGTGTTGGTGATGTAGTGTGTGTGTGTGTGTGTGTGTGTGTGTGTGTGTGTGTGTGAAACCAGTGTGGAAAGGTTCATGCAATGGTGTACTTTCCTTTTAAGAAAAGTGATTATAATATGATTTCATAAATAACAAAGACCCTAAGGTCTCTTCTGAGAGATCACAATTTCCCTTCCATTGGAAGATGGCCAGGTTGGTTTTTGGTGGGCAAGGGGAATTATTCAAAAGTATCATTCATTCATATTTTTTCACAGAAACATGCATTTAAATTAAGGATCACAAATCTACATTTGTCAATCAAAGTTACAAAAGTGGCTGTTACCATGACTGTCCATACAAGTTTTTGGCACTTGTGATTATGTCTGCAGAGAAAATAAGCAGTCTGAAATATTTATGTATTTCTATTACTTATGCATTTTTTTCTTTTTTTTGCATTTTGTTTTCTATGAAGAATATATATGTATGTATCCATTACCATATCAAATTACAATTCCTGCTTATTGCTATTCCTTGAGCCTGTTGAAAAGGGAGGATTTATATTTTCCTTACAATATTAAGTTTGTATACAGTAACTTATGTTGTAAAAAAAAACTTATTTATTTTGAAAACTGTAATTACACATACTCTTACTAGAATTATATGTAATAAAGTTACAGCCTAAAGGGAGAAATTTAGAAAACACACAGCATATCTGCAGGATTAAAGAACAAACTGCAAATATATGGTACACAGGATTAGTTATTATTTATCAAATATTATATTTTATTTACTATATTTTCATTTTCTCAACATAAGAGTCCATAAGTATGACTAAGTGTGTTTGTTTGTTTGTCCTCTTGAAAATTGAGGGCATTTGCAATCTCCTCCTGAAATGAAGAGAGTTTACATAAAGGGGTCTCTGGTATAGAAACTAAACCAGGAGAGAGCCAGGATCATTTTTAGTAGATACGATTAGTAAAAAGATATCCACATCCTAAAACAAAGACCCTTGATGGTAATATAATAAAAGGGAGTTAAGGAGAGGAGGGAATCAAGGTCAATAATCAGCTAACTTTGATATGGAGATTATCTTGCATTATCGGGATGAACCCTTAGTAATTACAAGGGTGCTTACATGTGGAGGATAAACAAAGAAAAAAAAAAAGAAATGTTATAGTGATGTGATGTGGGATAGATTCAACAGAATATTATTTTCCCCTCAAAAATGTTGGGAGGATACATGTTGATTCTTTTCCCATTAGCATAGAATGTATTGAGTTAGTTTGTACAAATACCCATAATTACCTTTTACATGTGCAACCCTATACTGGATCGTGAGTACAAAATGAAAGAATTCAGAAAGTAAAGACATGCTTCCTAAAGAGTGAGCCGGATGCTCTAGGAGTGTAGATAACATGCACCCCACAGAGGCAAGATTATGTGTGTGTTGGTGTTTGAAATATATGAATTATATGGAGATGAAACTCATGCCAAGTCTGCATTAAGAATTTATATAAGATAGAGTTAATTGAGAATAAATAAGTAGATTAAAATGATAATGGCCGTGTTAATCTTGTTTTTTTCCTGAGATACAGAATGTTTCCTCTCTTCCATTCAGACTGTCACTTTCCACTTATGTTACCATGAACAAAAAATGCCTTTTACTTCAAGTTAGTATTGGATTCAGCCAACACTTTCCTACCTCTCTTCCACTCCTTCTGGATCTCAGGCCTAAGGTCACCAACCTGACCACCTACTACTTGGCCCTCATCCAGAGTGATCCTCTTCACAATACTGGTGTCTTCACCAAGAACATTTGAGTCACTGAATTTTCAGAATGGATTCAAAGGTAAGGTGTTTTCTACACGAGCGACATGTGAACACCCTCTCCATCTGCAACACCTGCTTTAGAGCGCACTCCAGGCCATGGTCATCATCCCCAGCACTTCCTAGTTGGCCGTGTTTAAACTGAAATCCACCAGTTACATCTTCCATTCCTTCTCCTCATGGGTCCCCAGGTTGTCTTTCAGGAGTAGCCTCATGCTCTATACCATGCCTTCCAATCCAACCAAGACCAATCTGAGAAATATCAATAAATACTTCTCACTTTCCTACGCAAACTACACCATCTGACCTCTGTTTTTTATATGGCTACACTTTAGAGATGCCTCCTCTGCAGGAACCATGCTTCTTGCAAGTGCATACGTAGCAGGGATTCTCTCGTCCAGGTAGCAGAGGCAGTCCCAGCACTCTCACAATACCAGCCTCTTCCTAAGAATTCTCTCAGAGAAAAGGGTCACCCAGACCATCCTGCTGTAGGTGAATTTCTTCGTGGTCATGTGCTGGGTGAACTTCATCATCCGATCCTCTTCAACTCTACTATGGGCATATGACTAGCCTGGGTGTCCAGAGTTTTGTGGTAAATTTCTTTAAAAAAAATTTTTTTAAGATTTTATTTATTTATTTGAGAGAGAGAGAGAGAGAGAGAGAGAGAGCAAGCATTAATAGGGGGAGGGGCCAAGGGAGAAGGAGAGGGAGAAGCAGGCTCCCTGTTGAATAGGGAGCCTACGTGGAACTCAATCCCAATACTCCAGGATCATGACATGAGCTGAAGGCAGAAGCTTAGCTGACTGAGCCACCCAGGCGCCCCTAAATGCTACTGTCAGTCCTTTGGTATTAATCAGAGGTAATAAAGGGACAATGAAGATGATGAAAAATATACATCAAAAGTATCATATATTTTTAATAAATTATTAAAGAAAACAATTCTCTTAAATATAGGTTCCTCTATCATCACTTCAATTATTCACACAGCAGAAGATTGGATGTTTGATTTAATCAAAATGTATGGAATTAGGGGCACCTGGGTGGTACAGTCAGTTAAGTGTCTGACTCTTGGATTCAGGTAAGGTTGAGATCTAGATCCAGCCCTGCCTGGGCTCCCTGCCCAGCCCGAATGTGCTTAAGACTCCCTCTCCCCCTGTCCTTCCCCCACTTGTGTGCTCAGTCTCTTTCTCTCTCAAATAAATAAATAAATCTTTTTAAAAAAGTGTATGGGATTTTACTCTTAGTATATCTAAACACTGCTTTTTAAAAAAGAGTTATTTATTTGTTTGAGAGAGAGAGCGTGCATGCTGGGGAGTGGAGGGGCAGAGGGAGAAGGAGAGAGAAAGCTAAGGCAGGGCCAACACGGGGCTCTGTCTCACAACCCTGAGATCAGGACCTGAGCCAAAACCAAGAGTCAGACACTTAACTGACACACCACCCCGGCACCCCTATATCTAAATACTTTTGAAGCTAATGCTACCAAGAATTTGTTAGATTCAATTTCACCATGATTCTTTAGATGATTCCATCATGATTTGGTAGTCCTGTACATCGACAGGTTTATTAGTTTTCATTTTGATTCTCAGAACTTAATGTATGAAAACTTTTCTAACTTCTTGAGGTGTGCTTTTAAGAAGCTTTTATTGGTAATGAAATGCCTTGGGTACCTTACTGCAAATCAACTGACCGTACATGGATAGATTTATTTCTACATTTTCTATTCTGCTCTATTGATCTAGATGTCCACCTTTATGTCAACACCATGCTGTTTGACTACTTTAGCTTTAAAGTAGGTCTTGAAATCAGGTTGTTTTCCTCTGCAAAATTGCTTTGACTATGCTAGGTCCTTTGGCTTTCTGTATAAATGTTTTATTTATTGTTTATTACCTTTGACCCTTTCCTCCATTTCTCCCACCCCCATCCTCTACCTCTGGCACCCATCAATCTGTTCTCTTCATCTATGAGCTTGATATTTTTTTAAGATTCCACACATAGGAGAGATCATACAGTATTTGTCATTTGCTGACTTTTTTCACTGAGCACAATACCCTTGAGGGTCATTCACGTCATCACAAATAGCAAAATTTCTTCTTTTCTATGGCCAAACAACATCTCAATGTATGTATACACTACAATTTCTGTATTCATTCATCCACTGATGTACACTTAGTTTGTTTCTATATCTTGGTTGTTACAAGTAGCGCCATAGTGAACATAAAGGAAGCGTGTATCTTTTCAAATTAGTGTTTTCATTTTCTTCAAGTAAATGCCCAGAAGAAAATTGCTGGATCATATGGGAGCTCTATTTTTAAACTTTTGGGAAACCTCCATACTGCTCTCCATAGGGTTGCACCAATTTACATTCCCATCAACATAGCACAAGGGTTCCATCCTTGCCAACATTTGTTATTTGTTATTTCCTGTCTCTTTGATAATAGCCATTCTGACAGGCGTAAGGCAATATTTCATGGTCATTTTGAGTTGCATTTCCCTGCTGATTAGTGATGTTGAAAATCTTTTCATGCTCCCGTCGGCAATCTGTGTGTCTTCTTTAAAAAACTATTCAGATCCTCTGACAACTTTTTAAATCAATTTTTCTTTTGCCATTGAGTTGCATGTGTTCTTTATATACTTTGGATATAAACCCCTTATCAGATATATGATTCGCAAATATTTTCTCCCATTCAGTAGGACTTTTTATTTTTGATGATTGTTTCCTTTGCTGTGCAGAACTCTTTAGTTAATGCAGGTCAATTTGTCTTTTTTTTTTTTTTTTTTTGCTTTTATTGCTGTTAATTTTGGTGTCAGATTGAAAAAATCATCACTGGGCACCTGGGTGCCTTAGTCAGTTAAGTGTCCAACTCTTGATTTTGTCTCAGGTCATGATCTCAGGGTGGTGGGAACAAGCCCTTCAGTGGATCTGGAAGCCAACCAAAGATGGGCTGATCATTCAGAAGCCCGTGACCATCCATTCCTACACTCAGGGTTGAAGAAACACCTTGCCCTGCTGTCAAGGCAGGGAGAATGCACACAAGTATGCAAAGGTCGTGGTCAAATGCCTGAGGAGTCAACCTGGATGAGAATTCAGAGCTGGCTGCTCAGAAGACACGGTGACTATAAGAAGACACTGTGTGTATCACAGCCTCAACCTGAAGGTGAAGAGAGACATGTTTAAAAACAAGCTGATGCTCACGGAACGCACCCACAAGCTGGGGGCTGACAAGGGCAGCGAGAGGTTGTTGGCTGACCAGGCCGAGACCACAGGTCTAAGATCAAGGACACATGGAAGTGCTGTGAGGAACGGCTCCAGGCAAGGAAGAGAACAAGACCGAGATAAGAACTAAAGCTCCCCATCTTTTATCTCTACAGAGTGGCCTTGGGAATTTTATAGCTCCATCATTATTCAATAAAATATACACTTCTCTGTCTGAGAGGCCAATGTGAATTGCGGTTGTTTTTCTGCCAACCCTGTGGTCATGGTGAGTGTTCAACCAAATAAAAATCTAAGTCTTTTTTTACATGTACTACTGCCCAGTAAGCTCTCCCTCTTCCCATTTAAAATTATTGAATCACTGAACCAATACACAGGATTTTTTTAATTCAGCTTTAGTTACATTTTATATTAATTTCAGCCAATTCGATTATACCTGTTGAATTCTGTGAGCCTTTTTTTAAAGATGTATTTATTTATTTATTTATTCATTTATTTATGACAGACATAGAGAGAGAGAGAGAGAGGCAGAGACACAGGAGGAGGGAGAAGCAGGCTCCATGCTGGGAGCCTGTCGTGGGACTTGATCCAGGGTCTCCAGGATCATGCCCTGGGCTGCAGGTGGCGCTAAACCGCTGAACCACCAGGGGATCCCCTCTGTGAGCCCTTAATCCGACATTATGCATGCTTAATTATGCCTTCCAGACTTATGATGTGTAAATTTGATTAAACTCATGCCAAATATTGACTTAAGAAAACTAAAAAGAAAAGAGGATAGGGTAAGGTATAATGCCTTAGAATATGTCACCAGAGCCTTATGCTAAATTGTCCCCAATCCAATAAACATCTGCCTTAGATTTTCAGATGCTAATTGGAGTACCTACATTGTCATCTAGTGCAAATTCTTGCATCTTTCCACCAAGATGTAAAAATCGTTAGTTGTATCTTGGTGTTTCTCTCCATTATTCTTTAAATATTACCAGTAGTGCTTTTCCTAAGTCACTTCCAGAAATCATTATTTCACCCAAAGAGTAAAGTTCACCTAGATTTGGAGGTGTCCTGATTTAAATTATCTAGGTACTCTCCTATTCCCTACTGAGACTTCCCTCCTACTTCCTACTTTCCGGCCATAGTACTTGGATTTCTCTATTAGTACTTGAGATTTGTTGGTGTTAGCTTTAAAATTATGTATATATATTCCTGACCCCCAACCCCCAAGCGAGTTCATAGTTCTTGATATTGCTTTTATATTTTCATCCCCCTCATGTATTTGTCCTCCATCTTTTTGTGTTTGCCCTTCAAACATTTGACCACTTACTTACTCTTTCATAGTGAATGGATACCTATTGACCACCTGCTGTGTCTTTGCTAGATGAGGGCAATACCAAGCCATGACGCAGGTGACTACCTTCAAGGAGCTCATTCGCTAGAAGAGAATACAGGTAAGCAAGGGGTCGCAAAGGTGTGAAAAGAATCACTGTCACTAAGGTGCACAAAGGTGGGAATGCTGAAACCCAAACTGTAAAAGTCAGAAAACATGTTTTGGAGGCTACGACAGCCATGCTAAGTCTGGAAGTTGAGGCTGCAGGCTATGTGTGCAGGTATACAGACTCATGTTTTAATCTTAGCTTTCAATGCCTACTACTGACCTATTTCGATTGATTACCTCATTCATTTACTCCTCCACCCCATAAACACTTTTTAAAGACCCACTCAGTGCCTGGGACTGTTAAATATCAGCTCTTCTTTCAAAGACTTACCGCACAGAATTCCCTGCTTTCTCCCTCCCACATGATTTTTGGGAACTTCTGAAATCTGCTTTTCCAAAGTGCAAAGTACTCATTTGGCTCTGCCCAGTGTTCCTCTCTTGACAAGCAATGACTTTAAACTTTTAGGTTCCCTTTTGCTTTCAAATTCTTCAGTCAGTATAATTCATGGAGTGTTTTCTGTGAACAAAGCACTGTATTAAATGCTCCAGGAGATACAAAAGTGTCTGAGATGTGGGCTCTCTCCTTGTGAGGTTTATAAATTAACAGGGGAAACGTGCACAAACAACACAATAAAGAGAATAATAAATGTTCCACTAAAGACATTTTCTTTTCCTTTTTTAAAATTTTATTAATTTATTTATAAGATTCTTTTCATTTATTCATGAGAGACACAGCTGAAGGCAGCCGCTCAACCACTGAGCCACCCAGGCGTCCCAAGACATTTTCTTTTCAAATATAAAAATGTCTTGGTTAGAATTAAGTCCAGAAGAGAGATACTTGCTTCTTCCTTAATCATTAGGGAGATGGTAAGGTGAAATTACACTGTAAGGACAGAAAGTTTGGATCAGGTTAAAACAATCTTAAGAGAAATTGTACAATTAAAAAAAATGTCTTTGTATTTTCAGCACATTCCAGGGGAGAGACTACATGGACCAGTCTGATCATAATCCATAATTCAAAAGTCAATTCACTAGAGTACCAACATTTAATAGTGGTGTTATTGATCAAATTAGACTTAAAAATATATATCAGAACAATGGCATTACCCATGGGCTTTCACTTCACTTTCTACATTATATATTGCTGAAATTTTTGGAACACTTTGTAGTGATCATACACTACATTTATAATTAGAAAACAAACAATATATTCATAAATGTGTATGTGAAGCTTCCATTGTGTTCATTCTCTAGCAAGGTTTTATTAGGTTCTTTTTCAAAATAAAAAAATATTTAAATATAGATTATAAAAGTTTGAAAGAATATGAAAAATGGAAAAAAGAAAATAATTACCTACAAAGCTCCCATACTCACACAATGGTTACTAACGTTGATGACGTGTTTCTTTCCTCTCTTTTTTTCTATATATTGGTGAAATTGTTTGTAAGTGTTTAGATGGTGATGTTTCTTAGTAATGTTTAACCCATAAGAATAGGAACATTTTCTTCACATGCATCCAGTTCTTCTGGCCTAGATGGAATGGTAGATCATGGAACGTTTCCATGAAAAGATCTTATACATCATCCAGAAATATCCAAACTCTCATATTATCTCCCAGTAAATAAAATCTGCATCTTCCAAATTTACTGTTTTGGAAATGGGTCATATTAATAGTTAAGAGTCTAGATTTTATCGTCGCTTTTCCCCACCTGCTCACACAAGACCTTCATCTTCCGAGAAGTTCCCCCAAATTCTTTTGGGAATTCAGGTCATGTTTTGCACATTCTCTGAGTACAACCAGTTAACCATCTAGTCAGCGGTCACTTCCTTTGTCTTCCCCAGCTCTAACCCTTGTAGGCCAGGTCTCGCCCAGTGCCCCGGCTCTGCTGCCTTCTCAGGCTGCTGCTGTGGAGGACTTGGAGACCCTGACATGCCGAAGCAGTGCAGGTGTGTGGAGAAGCAGCATGCAAGCCCCCCCCCCCCCAACAGACACACCCAGAAGAGGGCTCCTTAGCAGTGCTCTTTGTGCTCCATGTCTTGACACCTTTGCTCCTCAAAATGTGCTTCGTGGACCAGCAACATTCGGCAGAGGCACCAGAAATGCAGAACCTCAGGTCTCTAAATCAGAATCTTCATTTTAACAAGAACCCCAGGTGATTCGTATTCAAGTAACAGTTTGAGAAGCACCTGCTTAACGCACCTCCCTGGGATTAAGGCATGAATTCAACTGGGGACAAGGGCAATGTTGGGTCAGGGAACAGGAGTGACAAATCAGAGGAATTCTTACAATGATGCCTCCCCTTGATGACCTTATCTTCGTGACTGGGCCAAACTTGGATTGTTTGGGTGCTTCTCTCAGGAAGGGCTCTCCCTCAGGAGACGCCCTCACTCCTCACTGCCTCAGAGAGATAGACTTTTGGTGATCTGTCTCTACTATTCCAGTTCAACTAAACATGGCTTAGGCTCAAACTAAGAATCCTCCAGACTATAGGAAACTTTACACTGCTGCACATGTAAAATAGACCTCTATTTAGTAACTGTTGATTTAGTACCTATTATTTACAAAATATTCCATTACGAGCTGTGGGAATACCGAAATAAGCAAAGCGGTCTCTGCCCTCAAAGGAGGCGAATAAGATGAACAATGGGACCGGTAGGGACTTTGGGAGACAGGTTGAGGAAGGAGCCAAGAGGTTCCCAAGTGAAGCAGTCCGACTGCAGTTTGGAGAAACCACTCTTACACCTTGGGCCAACAGCCTCTGGGTGCCTGTTCTCCCTGCTTCCATTTCCATTTCTCCACATTCTTACCCACCCTCCGAGGCCAAGTTCAAATCCCAATTCATGAATAAAATCTGCCCCAATCCTCTCAGCTAAATATGCTTTGGACACTTTAGAACTCCCATATCCTGCCTTAAGACCAATGACATGTGTTGAGGCCTTATGGGGTCGGGGACAGAGATATCGTATAGAGGCAAAGAATGTATCCTAGTAGGTCTTCTTGGAGTCCCATGGGACCTAGCATGCTGGGCCATACATAGTATTTGAAGAAAGAAAAAAATTAAATGTAATGCAGCTACTGTGTCCATGTCTCCCTATTCAGGAAATGTACTGGCTTGCTCAGATCATCGTCAGAGTGAACTTGAGGGAGAATGCTGAGCACCACTGGGAGAGTCAGGAGGACTGAAGCCCCCACCCCCCGTTTTTCTTTGGCCAGCTTTGTTCTTTCACACAGAAACAACGTCTGCATTGGTAGATTTGTAGCTGTGAATCTCAGGTGAACGGAATTTCCGCGAGCTGTCAGCTGGCTAGAAGTGGGCCGGCTAGATTGCCTGTTGGTATTTAAGAGATCTCCTCCCTCAGTGGTAGTGCTTTTTATGCCTGGTTTTTCCTGGAGCTGAGATGGCATCTACAGCTCCGATTCTGGCTCTGGATCCAGCTCCGGCTTCAGCTTCAGCTTCACCTCCGGCTCCAGCTCGTGCTCAGGGTCAGGCTCAAGCTCAAGGACCCCTCTCAGAGGCCTGTGGGGTTGCTATTAATTATATAGCATCTTATGAGCTGAACGTCAGTGATGGTTATTTATCTATGGTTAGTCTGAGCATTTGAGGCATTGTGAGGGAGTTTTCGGCCCTGATCTGAGCGATGACACGTCTTCTAGGCCCTTAGCGATGGTGGTTATGGCCATGTTTCTGGTTTGATACTGGATGAGACATTAATTTAGCGACTGGGGTTTTGCTGTGCTATGGCCGGACGATTCAGAGCTGTGATTGCAAATTATGGAAGATGATAGGGAGAATCTCTGTTCTTTCCAGTGATTTCCCAATGCTACATGGGCATCGACTGTGTGGGAAGACTGAATATGCAATTTTTCACCCATATAGTACTTCAGAGTTAACGTAGATGTATGAAGACTGATGAAACAGGTTGATATTTAAGATGTCAGTCTATACTGGACTTCTTCCAGGAGTCCCCATGATGACTGGAAACAAGTACGAGTGTGTCAGGTTCACTAATCTGACCCCTAAAATGGCCATTACGGCCGAAGGCTAGACACCAGCAGGTTTGAATGTGGTGGCTTGTCTCCGAGGTAGCCTGGGTTCTGAGAGAGAGCCTGGCTCTTCTGGGAGTCAAAGCACAGACTAAGGAAAAAACAAAGAAGGCCCCTGTCAGACAACCACGGAAATAACGGAGTGAGCTTGTGTAAAATTTCCAGTCTTGAAATTCAGCTTCTCTCACCTCCGTTCTGTTCCCATTCTCACCCCCTGTTCCAGGTCTGTTACTTCGATGAAGACCCGGATGCACCTGTTTATGTCCCCTTTTTCCAAGACCAAGCTGAGGTGAAGAAAGGACACGCAAGGCAGTTCATAAGATACCTGAAGGAGCGTAAGAGTAAAGTCTGCCTTCCAGTGGTTAAGGTGACTGTGAATTTTGTCCTGATGATCTCCATGGGGCCTTCTCTGGGTCTAGAGAACTCCATGATTAGTCACTACCTCACTTGTAAGGTTACTTGTGTTCTTACATGGAATTACAGCCACTGACTTGAGGGCAAGCCTCTATCTTCTTTGAAACCTCTTCATAGTACTGTGAGTAAATCTTAGCCACTAAATGTTTGTTTGGTTTCTCTTGTTTGGACTTTCTTAAGTTTTTATTTATTTCAGTAATCTCTACACCCAACATGGGGCTCAAGTGCACCACCCCAAGATCAGAAGTCTCATGGTCTTCTGCGTGAGCCAGCCAGACACCCCTTGGTTTTGTGTTGTTGTGGTGGTTGGTTGGTTGGTTGGTTGGTTTTTAATGAACCAGCAGCACCAACATCAGCAGGGGACTTAATAGAAACGCAAATTCATGGACCCAGGGGCACAAACTGATTCGGATTCTCTAGGGGTGGCGCCCAAGGAGTGGTAGCCTAACAAGCTTTCCAGGTGATTCTAATGCTCTGTATAGTTTGAGAAGCTCTCCCCTAATGGCCTCTTCCTAAAGCATTTTATATCAGATCTTTAGTCTAATTCAGATGCATGTTCAGGTATTTAACATGGCTAAGTCTCCAATGCAGTAAAACAAATTCTTCTTCAATGGGGCACGCACTCCAAAGAAACAGTCTATACCTTAATTAGGGACATTACATATAGAAACATCCCTTAGTTACCTGATGGGTTCTTTTAACTCCAGTTTTCTAAAGAAACCTAATGTCTGGTAGTAACAGAACCAACCCACCATTACCGAATTCCAAAGCTAACGTAATAGTGCATGTAACCGCGCTGGTAGTAATCACACTTTGCAACACATTAAAATTACCTGGGGAGCTCTTAAAAATCTTAGTACCTAGTTTGTACTCCATATGAATTAAGCCAGAATTTCTGCAGTTGAAAGCCAGACGTGAGTATTTAAGATGCTGTGCTGATTCCACGGTGCCTCAAAGTTTGGAAACTACAAGCCTATTGCAAACCTAGTCATACTCCAACCCAGGGTGTAGGGTTTAACAAAGGTAGAAAAGCGACCTCCTTGTTCTCTTCAACAGAGGCTTGACAAAGAGTACTGGGGAACGAACGTGCAAGCTATAGTGATGGCTCTGGAGTTGGAAAACAGGTTACACAAACTCCTGCAAGACCTGCAGAACTTGGCTTCTCAGAAGAATGAAACTGATGTAAGTCGTTGATTGATTCTGAAAGCAGGGTTATCTTTCACTTCTAATTATAGCTTACTTCTAAGAAATGGGTACAAAACAGGAGGTGACCCAATATGTGCTTGTTCCTCCCCCAAGGAAGTGAACTTATGAATATGAACTTATTCCTGGGAGTTGGCTGGTGTGGGAAGAGTAGATGTGCTGGCAAGGAGGAATGCAAGTCAACACAAGATGGAGAAGACTTTCCTGGAATAATGCACTCTGGATAATTAAAATAACTTCTGTTGCTGGCTTGTAAATCTCCTAGGCCAAAAGCGCTTCTATTTTAATGGATAGCAGAATCACCTGGAAGACTAACTGAAACTGCTGGGCCCTACCCCCAGAATTCCTAATTCAATTGACTTTTAAGGGGCATATAAAAATTTGCATTTATTTCCTTTTTGAGCTTTTATTCATTCATTTGAGAAAGAGCATGAGCAAGCACAAGTGGGGTGGAGAGCGGAGGCAGAGGGAGAAGCAGACTCCCCACAGAGCAGGGAGCCTGATGCAGGGGTCCTGGGATCATGACCTAAATCAAAGGTGGAGGCTTAACCAGACTGAGCCACCAAGGAGCCTCAGAAATTTACATTTCTAACAAGTTCCCTGGGGATGATGCTACTGGCCAGAGGCCATATTTGGAGAACTACTATCCTTGAGTGTCCCTAAAAAACTGAATGTTAATGGTGACCTCTTATCTTATAGACTTCTCTGGAGTTAATGATGAACCCTCTACCTTGTGGTAACTTTCTTACCAGCCCCTTAGCTTCTAAGAGTTAGTGGGGGAAAAGTGTCCCAAATACAAAAATTATCAAGATGATAATGAACTTGGATGGATAATGGATGATAATGGGTGAAAATTACCCTAGATGATATTGGACTCACTGAGGAGTCCTGAAGAGATAGAAATGACTCTTACTCCAGACCACTTATATCTGAAACTTTGGGAATGAGATCTGGGTGCCTACTCAAAACCTCCATGTGATTCAAATAAACAGGGTGGAAAGCCATCGCAGGAGCTCATTAATTAAGTTAATCTGTACTTTTGATGAGATGCCCTAACACTCATATTCATTGCAAGTGGATATTTGTATTCACCTGGAGGTCTTGAATGTCTTGGATCAGTGCTCTTTGAATTTCAGCATGCATATGAATAGCCTAGTGTCCTCTTAAAACCTGATTGCTTGGGTCTGGGTAAGACCTGAGAGTCTGCATTTCTGACAAGCTCCCAGGACTGCTGATCCATGCACTGGAAGTCTGGTAGCAAGACCTTAGGTCATCTCCCATTGCAGACAAGGTCTTTAATGAGTCCTTCCCTGTTTTCGTTTTTGTGGGTTTTGTGTGTTTTGTATTGTAGCTCTTAGAATTCCTGAAAAGGTTCGTGGGTAAACAGAAGAGGAACATAAAATATCTGGAATACCAGCATAGCTATCAGAAGGAATTAGAAAGGCTGACTTCGAAGGAAGGCATCTCAGAACAGTTTGGTGAAGCATCAGCCAGACAGGCTTAACATCCGAAGGCAACACAGCAAGTCTTCCATCGTAGTAGTTCCCAAAAGCAGCTACTTAAAAAATCTGGATGTCTATATGACAGAAGACTGCTCTACTTTTAATAGTATCCCAATTTTCATTGTCATACATGGAAATAAATTGGTTTTGCATTACAATTTTGTGTTAAAGAGATTGCTATTGGAATACCAGAAGAGTTATTTCCACCAATGTGAGTTTGGTGAAAGCATCTCAGGGACAGTGGGTGCATCAGACTTAAAAAAAGAAAATAAGGGAGGGGTGGGTGTGGTGGTGGTGGTGGGGAACCCACCTTTCTTTATTGTCCCAACAACACCCAGATGCACAGTCAGGATTTGATAAATTCAACCAGCTTAAGTGGATATTGTAAAAATTAGTAATTTCTTTAGGTCTTCCTTACCACAGCTTCCCCCACCCCCCAGCTTGTATATACATAATTGAAGTAGAAGAGTTTTCTTCTAATTAAATGCAAAGCTAAATTTGAAAACCAGAGCTCTTGGTCTAGAAAGGGGGACTCCCACCTGAAAGTGTACAGGGGAACAGGCAGCTGCAAGTGCCTTTCAAAGCTGGAGGTAGACATAGAGAACTGGAGGGTACGCAGGCAATTACGACACTGAAGATAAGTATGTGGATGCCCTTACTCACCCGCTGTGGGCCAACTAGCAGCTACTAGGGTAATTGCTTTAGGAACAAGTAATGAGCCTGCAAGCTTGGTTCAGACCCAAGGGTCTCATGTAAATAGTATGACCTGGGGAAAAAAGGTGACTCTACAGGATTGTGTCTTCTAAAACTTACTAGCTTCATGGCCTTGAATACATTTTTTTTTTACCTTACTCATTGACTCAATCTAGTTGTCTATAAAGTGAGCTTAATAGTATTTAGTTCATAGTTAACGAGATTAAATAAATAATATGTAAAATATCTAGAAAAATACCTACTAGATTATGTATCCTATTAATTTGTAAAATAGTGCCAATTTTTAAACTTGAGGAAACCCTATATAGGATAGAAGCAATTGCAATGAACAATCACTAAAATTTAGACAGAATTTTAGAATATTTAATCTTAGACAAAAAGGAAGGTCTTTTTTTTTTTTTTTTTTTTTTTTGAAGCAAGAAAAAGTGGTTATAAGGAAGAACCAGCTAGATACCTTGGGATAAAAAGAAATCAAACTAAGAAATGGACTGAATATTCAAACACAGCTAATTAAATAAGTGATTTAAAAGTAAGCTAAGAAATTCTTAGCCAAAGGAACAAAGAAATAGTATTTAAGATATTAAGACATGTAGTTCCAAAAAAGATCTAATTAGACCTCCAGAAGGAACGAGAAATTGAGGGGAAAGTTCCATTGTAGTGAAATTTTAGAGCATGGAGAATAAAAAAAGCTATCCCCCTAAAGGATATCACTTATAAGGAATGAAAACTGACATTAATAACAGCTGTCTCATGTATATTAGATGAAAAGGGAAAATTGAAAAACATCTTCAAAATGCTGATGAGGAAAATAAGAGTTGAGGCTGAACAGAACTATTCAGACAAAAATATTGAGTTCACAAAAGATTGTAACCTATAGGGACATCTGGGTGGCTCAGCGGTTGAGCGTTTGCTTAGTCTTGGGTTGTGATCCCGGGTCCGGGGATCAAATCCCGCATCAGGCTCCCTGCATGGGGCCTGCTTCTCCCTCTGCCTATGTCTCTGCCTCTCTCTGGGTCTCTCATGAATAAATAAATAAATAAAATCTTAAAAAAAAAAAAAGATTCTAACCTAAAGAAAACCTTCGCTGAGGGTGATAATTGTTTTGGTGGCAGAGTACAGAGGCCTGCAAGTCCAGTGTAATCTAGCTGATGGTAACTAATCTTTAAAAAAAAAATTTTATTTATTTATTCATGAGAGACACCGAAAGAAAGGCAGAGACACAGGCAGAGGGAGAAGCAGGCTCCATGCAGGGAGCCCGACATGGGACTTAACCCCGGGTCCCCAGGATCACACCCTGGGCTGAAGGTAGATGCGCAACCGCTAAGCCACCAGGTGTCCTGATAGTAACTAACCCTGCAGAGTACTTTATGCTTTAGTAATTGCAGTGAGGAAGAACATGCCCCTGGGAATAATCAACCACATAATAGACTTCCTTACCTACCTCTTCACACCTTTCTACCCTTGCTCTTCTTGAGAGCCACTGCCATGATAAGCTTGTCTCTACTAGAGAATTACTAGTACAAAAAGTATTCTTGAATAAAGTCTTACGTTTATAATTATTAACTTATGTAAGATTTTATACCTATTAAAGACAGACATTCATGTTAATATCAGGAATAAGACAGGATGGCTTTTTTTCATTTTCAACTGCATTAATTAATAAGTTGAATATTTTTTCCAAACACACCAATTTTCAGATTAACAAAGCCTCCCAAATTCTTAGGTAATTCTCATAAAACTAAGAAACACATAGAATAAGTGGTAAGTTTTCTTAAAAGTTCCAATATAGTGCATACATTTAAAAGGATTTTTTTACATTCTTTTAATTTAAATTAGATTTGCCAACATATAGTATAACACCCAGTGTTCATCCCATCAAGTGCCTTCCTCAGTGCCCATCACCCAGTTACTCCATCCCCCTCACCCCCCCCCCCCGCCCCGACTTCCCCTTCTGCAACTCTTCATTTGTTTCCCAGAGTTAGCTTTAAACTCCACACTACTTTGTATATTCCTGGAAGTTCTCAGAGTTTCTCAATCTCAGTAGTATTGACATTTTGAGCTAAGTGACTTTTTGTTGTGGGGAGGGGTCCTAAATATTGTAAGATGTCTAGTAGCATATATGACCTTCATTTACTAGATACTTGTGACAATCAAAACTGTTTCTAGACACTGCCAAATGTCTTCTGAGGGACAAGGTCACTTTGCTTGAGAACCACTATTCTAGACAATGCAATAGAAAAACTAAAGGAGAAGCAGCTCTGTTTAAAAAGCCTTACTTAATGTGGTATAATTATAACTAGAACTGAAAAACTATTAGAACTTACAAGAAAGTTTAATAATGTTGCTGGATAAATACCTACAAACCAACCTTTCCTATTTATAATCAGTAAGCAGAGAAACCATTAAAAATATGCTTCTTGTTTATAATATCCACAAATACATAAAATATCTAGGAATAGCCCTAACAAAAGTAATTTGAAGACTATATGAAATAAAAATGCTTCCTGAAAAAGATACAATAATGAATTTGAATAGTGGAAAGAGGAGAGAAAGACTAAGCTTGTGACACCTCCCAAATCACTGTATAGGGACTAAAGCAATTTGGGACATAATCCCGACAGAATTTTGAGAGCTTGGACAATTTAGTACTAGAGAAAAAAAAAAACATCATCATGGGGAAAAACATGGGAACATGCACAAAACTTGCTTAACATCTTTGAGAAATACAAACCCCGGACCACAAGGCGATACGACTTACTACATACTCATCAGAATCGCTAAAATTAAAATAGCTGTGGACATCATATGCTGGCAAGGCGATAAAACAGCTGAAGCTCTCACACATTATTGGTGAGAATGTACAGTTGTACAACCACTTGGGAAAAGGTAGGGCATTTTCTTAGAAAACTAATCAAGTATCTATCCCAGAAATTTTGGGAGAACACAATTTAGCCCATAACAAATGATATTACTGACTAAAATTAGGTAGAGAAAGCTACAGAGAAAAGACAGTAAGTAGGAGGAACTGACAAGTTAACTCACTTGAGCTCATAACCTATTCTCAATAGATACGTCTGAATAAAGAGGGTTCTAGGGTATTATGTAAAAGTCAAATTATAGGTGGGGCACAGGGTGACACAGCAATCAGTTGGCATCTGACTCTTGATTTTAGCTCGGGTCGTGGTCTCCAGGTCAAGGAAGGGGCCCTGTGTCCGGCTCTGCTGCTCAGTTGGAGTCTACTTGGGATGCTCTCTGCCCCTCCACACTGTGTGTGCACTCTCCCTCTCTCCCCCTCTCTATCTAAAATAAATAATAGAAACAAGTCTTTTCCTAAAATTTTAATTATAAAGGCAGTCACTAAAATAAAAATATATTAAGAACTATAATTTTAAAAATAATAGCCTCCACATTGAAAATTTATAAAAATATATTTATATGCGCATTTTACTCTGTACCACTTAAGTTAGCCCTAGTTTTAGTCCTCGTTCTAATGTTCACCCCCAGTCTTTTTGATGTTCCCTGATTCTTTTTTGGTTGAATGAATTGTGTTCTTTGGGAGATGCTTCCCTAAGACCTGATGTGGACAGTTATCCCCTGAGTCCTTGAACTGGCAGAAATTTTTGCCTGTGGCTCGACAGCTTGAGTGGATTTAAAATCGTTGGCTCAAATTTTCTTTCCTTAAGTGTCTCACAGGTATTGTTCCGTTTGTTAGCACCGACTGTAGCTGCACCAACTTGGCTTTCTCTCACTTGGAAATGATACGATGTTTTTGCACAGATGCCCAAAGTTTGCTTCTAGTGTTAATAGGACAAGTCTAACGTTATATGATCAGTGTCAATAGGGAGTCTCGGTGTCAGTCATTCTGGGACAGTTCTCTCCTCTCTTGAATGTGCCTTTGAATAATTCAAGTCTTATTTCAGAACATTTTATGTTTGTTTTACTCTATCGTTTTGGTTTCCTCCAATGGAAACTCCAATGAATCTTATTTTGAATAGTCTCACTTATCTTTCATAACTTTCACTTTCTATTTTAAAAAATCTTTTTGTGGGCAGCCCCGGTGGCCCAGTGGTTTAGCGCCACCTTCAGCCTGCGGCCTAACCCTGGAGACCCGGGATCGAGTCCCACATGGAGCTCCCTGCGTGGAGCCTGCTTCTCCCTCTGCCTGTGTCTCTACCTCTCTCTCTGTCTGTGTGGGTCTCTCATGAATAAATAAATAAAATCTTTTTTAAAAATTAAAATAAAAAAATAAAATAAGATAAAAATAAAAACATAAAATGTTTTTGCTTAGCTTTTTTC